ACCCGACCAAGGGCTGTTGTTTCGGCGATCTAACCCCGTTTAGGTCGACGAAGTATCTTAGTAGTTGTTCGTCCATAGGGCTACATTCGCTACGTTTTCTCCTACTCAGGGCTGGCATCGAGTCAAACCCTGGGCCAGAAACCTACACCTGCTGTGTATGCCAGAGACGACTACACCACAACTCCACCTCTGTCAAATGCAATGCTGCTCAGGACTACGGACACATCGGCAGTGGACCACGTCTTTTGTGGCCCCCTGTTGCTCTAACAGAGCAGCCTCCATGGCTAACCCCAGTCCACCTGAGCAGACCCACACAAACACCACAGCACAACAACAGAACACAATAGACCACACCACAACGGCTACAGACCACAGAAAACACACAACCGCACCACCACTCACACGCCGCCGCCAATAGCTCCTGGTTCCTCCTATAATCTGCACGGTATGTCAGACCAGGATATTCCGTAACGTGACATCAGTCAAGTGCAACACCTGCCTTGGCTGGTGCCACTTTAGGGCATGTTCAGGTCCGCGCACCACGCGAGATTGGATGAGGAACTTCGAGGGTCCGTGTTGCGCTGCTCGGTCGCAGACCTCAACTGCGACGCCTCCCACCACCACCACAGGGCGGCAACCACCTCAGCAGCGCACACAGCCAACTACGGCACGACGACACACATCCCTCACACCCCGCATCACACGTCTCCCGAACCACATGCAGCTCCTTCAATTTAACTGTAACGGGCTTCAGAGCAAGACCGAGGAGATAACCGTCTTCATGGGAAGGCATGGCATATTGATAGCTGCGGTCCAAGAGACGGAAGTTGCACAGCAATTCAACACTGTTGACTTCTGCCGGGTACAACGTGCACCGTCGAGATCGCGAGCGGGATCATGGTGGTGGCTTAGCGTTCATTACGCACCACACCGTCCAGTATCGTCTTATCGAAGCAGACATCGACCGCAGGGATACCACCCTAGAATGTCAGGGCATTGCTATCTAGTCAGACGATGTTGAGTTAGAAATATTTAACGTTTATATACCCCCTGTCAGCTGCTGCCCGGCAGGATTTCACCCTGATATAGGTGCGCTCCTCAGAGGTGAAAACCGTATGGTAGTAGGCGACTTTAATGCGCACCACGATTTTTGGCACTCAAGCCTGTCAAACGATCGTAGGGGAACTGACTGGGCTGAGCAGATAGACGATTCGACATTCTGCACAATGAACGACGACG